CCCCGGAGAGCGGGGACCGCCCCTCTGGGCCGTGCATCCGCCCCCCCGTCACGGGCGCTGTGCACCGCCTCCGCCCCCCAGGCCCCAGCGGCTGTTCCCGCTGTGACGGTGCTGCCCCGCCGCCGCTGGGGTCCGTGAGGCAAAAGGGAGGGGGAAGGATAGAAAGCCCTGAAGGAGGGGGGCGGTCCGAACTCCGCCCTTTGCCGCTAATGAGCAGCGTGGAGCGCGGGGCAATTAGCGGGTGTGAGGCCGGGTGAAGGCGGTGCGAGCGAGGGGAGCCAGAGGAGCGCTCAGGTTAAGCCAGGAGGGGCTGGGTTTGCCGCGAGGGTGTGGGGGACTCAGCCCCTCTTGGTATCCCTCGCTTCGGGTGCCTCGCCGAAAAACTGTGAATGCCGCCTGCAAGGTTAAATAGAAAAAATTCCGCTAATGGAACGACGCCTCCAAGACGCCAATTTAAACCTTCCCCCAGCCCTCCCCGATGAGGTTTTTAAAAGAAGCAAATAACATTGGAACTATTCGCTCTAGGCAGCTTCGTGCTTTTTTAAGTGCCCCAGCTTCACCCAGGCATGATTTAGGTGATCATCTGAAGTGATTTAAGTGATCGTCTTGCCTCGAGCGATCATTTCAGCGTTTTCCTTAAAGTCGCTTTCAGAACAAAATCTCCTGGTGGTCAGTGGGGTCTTAAAGGCACCGCGTTAAAGGGCTTATTTTTAGCTAACAAGGCTAAAGGACGTCTGAAAGTTTACTTGTATATATTTCTATATTCGTGAATAATCATTCTTCACCGTTATTTGTTTTTTGTTTTTTTTTTTTTAAACAGATTGTTCCTCACCATTGGCACGGTACTTAACAAGCTAATCTCTGTATTTCTTGAATACGCACGAATTAGCAGCTGACACAAACACTTGGGGGAAATAATATAGCATAAGTTAAGGGTGTAACTGTGCCTTCAAAACTCACTTCAGAGCTGACCCAGCAAATGCACAAATTATACCGAAGTCTTTCAGAACGGCAGCAAACAGTTTTCAACACAGCGCGCTGCAGGTTGTACATGAGGGTGGTTTGTAATGTATCGCTCTCTCTCCGTGAAGGCTTTTTGCAATATTTGTTCTAAACATAAACTATTAAATCGTAGCCTGTATTTCGTTAATTGAGAGCCTGAGAGCCGTGCCCGGGTCAAGCAGGGAGGTAACTTTGCACTCTGATCCTGTAAACGCTAATGGAGTAATACTTGTTATTTATCAGCTAGGATAAATTGTTCATAACTTTTGCAAAACTAGGAACAAATTCCCTGCTTAAGGATCAAGCAAACGAAGACTGAAAATTCCGTCTAGAGAAATATAAAACTCATCATGAACAATCAGGGAAACTACATGAGATGCTAGGTGTCGATAATTTTCAGGGAGCAGACTTGGGTAGAAAATTGGAAATACACCCAGAAGTAGGAGTTGTATGGATGTGGCATTGAAAATCTGGTCATTCTGAAGTTCGTTGGGTTATTATAATTCATGTATGAAGTTCCCGCAGTACCTGAGAGAGAAACGTGCAAGTCTTCAATGCATATTTTTCTGTGTTTGACAGCAAACCTTCAGGGCAGTTATTTTTAAATTAAAAATATGTGCTTATTTTACTTCAAAATGTGTAAAATGCCTTTGTTTGGAGGTTTTGGGTTTCAACAGAATTCAACAGAAATTGTTTTGGACTTTTTTTTGTTTCAGGTTTTTTCCTTACATTGTTAAATTTTTTTGTATACTGTATTCCATGGTTTTTGTTGCTCACATAACTTAATAGGGGAATTGTGCATATTTGCTGTATTATTGCTGACATAAATGACATGGTAAACCACTGAAAGCAGAGGTGAAAGCCAGCTGAATTGTTGTACTAAACCCCACAACAAGACTAATTTCTAGCTAAATTGTATATTTTTCTAGGCACCGTGTCTTCTTGTAATTTAGAAATACTTTAATTTAAGAAATACTTATTTGCAAATAAATTGCTGGCTATTCATAAAGATTATTACAGATTCCTCCTGCAGAGGAGCACAGCAGGAGAAGGTGACATAAGTGCATCAGCTTGGTTATTTACCTGATCTAAATTGACATGGGTAGGAACATCTCCCACTAGCTGGGGATCTGTGATATTGACAGATTTATATGCTATTAAGGTCCTGAAATTTCATTTATGTGAACTGCAAAAGAAGTTTTGATGGATAAAGTTACAGGATAGAGCCAATGCAAAAAAAAAAAAAAAAAAGAAAAAAAAAAGTCAATTGCTGAACAATTGGTGTCAGCTTGTTTTATTGTGTCTCTAATTCTGGTTTAGTTTAACTTTTTTAATTACTTTGGATATACAGTTCATCAAGATGTCTGAAACGCAAAGGCAGAAAATTCTACAGATCCAAATGGCTTTGTAGGACTTTTAAAATGATTATATAGCTGTATGGATAATAAAAATCCCCAAAGAACAGGTAATACAGGCATGTATAAGGGATAGAAATGCATCAGGGTGTAAAACAAGGACTAGATTTACTCTGTTGCAAATTATGTTTCCTGGTGCAGGCTTTTTCGTAATTCTTTATCATAGAGTTATTCATTGTTCCTTACTCCACATCATCTGGGACTGATATCAGTCTGAATAAACCCCTTTTAATTTTGCCAACACTTATAGGCATTTTCATTTATATATATATAATATCTTAAATCATATTCCCTGCTCCATTCAAGATCTATTCCACCATAAAATGAGTGTTTTACCAATGACTGACAGGCATTGGATTATGCCCTAAAGGAATCATACACTGTATTTCATGCAATGCCAAAGAATGAATAAGCATGAAATCTGATTAGATCTGTTTTTCTTGTATTACAGTTATTATGGTTTGCACAATTGCTGCTTAACACATTTTGCAGATGATGTCCATTTTATGCATGTTAGAGAAACAGATGTTTTCTTCCACACTTATTTATTTCACCCCAATATGTTAAATAGGTAGCTGCTCACTGAAAGAAGGAGCGAAGCAGTTAACTGTGTGGGGAGTCCATCAGTGAAAACTTTTGCAACAGACATTCAAGAGTGGTTTACACCTGAGGCTGTACTCCCTGGTGATGAGGACAGGATAGCAGAGTGTAATTCCTGGTTTCTGTTTCTGGCCCTGGGGACCCACCAGGTGTGTGACTCTCTCTCAATTTATAGGTCTGTAGATAGTAACTCAGAATTTGCCTCACTGAAGAAGGTTAAGAATCTTGTCTTCATTGCTCCAGGATTAACTATGGAAAGACTTTTAGAAATACAAAGCATTGTGTGGAAACAGTAACATAAATCCAGGCAAAAATATTAGAGTTCTTGCCAGAAACATTCAGCCTGTAGATGGAAGTAAAAAATATAATAAATAATAATTCATTATATAGTAACTTATTCAATAATTCATGTAATAAATAATTCATGGCTACATCAGGAGAACAATTTTCCCTATACCAAGCACAAACTGAAGTCTACTTTAAAGTAAAGTAAATGCAGAAAGTGTGTTTTCCAGACATGGGT